CATTAGTAGTAGGAAGGAGAATTGTTAGTTTGGAGGAAACCATTCCTTGTCAGAGAAATGAGATTATATGAAGAAGCAGAGTGTTAAAAACAAACAGAACAGCCTAGATGTGATATGAAAATTAAGAGAGATCTGCAAGTATTGGAGAAACCACAAAGGAGAAAGGGAGAGGGAGTCCCACAGTCATTGTCAACTGATGCTGGCATGGAACTGGGTGCCTTTCTTCAAGATATTTTTCCTTTTGAAATTCTATTCCCCCCTTGTTTTTGAGACAATATTCTCCTGGTCTTCTCTCCTAACTCTTCAGCTGCTCTTCATAATAGAGCTGTCCTATTATTAATGAATAAGTAGCAAAATAATTATTCATAATTACAGTTAGTAGCTACATGGCTTATCATATGCTAAGAATTGTGCACAGTATGTTATCTTAATGCACCCAGCCCTGTAAAGCAGATATGCTTACCATTCCCATTAATGAGAAAACTAAAATCCAAGTGTTAATAAGTTGTCACAGAGGTAGTAGGCTGTGAATCTAAAACCATGAGCTTAATTACGATGTATGGGCCTTGCCACTAAAATGTTGGCATTATACAGAGTTCTAGCCTTAATCCCTTCCTTCCCCAAATCAAATCTTAGTGTTTACAATTTCTCTAAACTTTCCTTACAGACTTGTATGCTTTACAGTGTGTTTATTCTTTACTGATCTCTTCACGTACTTTTAAAACTAACTGAATTTCCAAACTGGAGATTAATTAAATAGACTGGGCAGAAATGCACAGTATTTCTCTCCCCAAATCCTATCAGGTGGCATGTAATCTTGATTTGTCCCATTTTTGATGGCACTGGAGCATTTGATTAAGATGGTGTCTGCCAAGCTTCTTAACACTGAAAAGTTACACTAGTTCCCTTTGTAATTAATCAGAATTTTGTTGGGAGAGCCTTTAAAAGTATGAAAATATTCCAATGCTTATCAAACTTTCAATTTATGTATTTCTTTACACTGGTATAGTTTCTTGTATTATTCAATGGGTTTTAATACTGTACATGATTTTTTTTTTTAATGTTGAAGTACAAATTGTCTCCAATTTTGATGGTGTTCTTTAGACATACCTCGTTATTCTTTGAGCATGTCCTCATTTTCTGGTACTACAAGAAGCTCCAGGCTCATCCTGTACCTTCTCTTCTCCAGTCCTGGAATCAACTATTTTGCCAAGAAGAAAAATGAAGTGGAGAATGGTATTTAGAAGCTAAGACCTGGGCTAAATGTTCTCATTGTTTTGTGGTGTCACTACTGCCAGGTCTTCTCAATGGAGAGGGTATGTATGTACCTATACACTTATTATTTCTATAAAGACTGACAGATTGATACCTCCATTACCAGTCCACCACCAAAGTTTTCTCTTTTATTTGTAATTCTCTTCCTGAACAGTGAGAAATCTGGCTCCCATTTTCCTTAAAATATTGCCAGTCATGTGTTGCATAATGATATTTCCGTCAACGATGGACTGCATATTATGATGGTGCCCCATAATTTATTTTTATTCTCTCTTTTCTAAGAAACACAATTTCTTACCATTGTGTTAAAAATGCCTATGTATTCAGCACAGTAGCATGCTCTACAGGGTTGTAGCCTAGGAGTGATGGGCTACATCATCTAGCCTACGTGTGTAGCTAGCTATACCAAACAGGGGTGTGCAAGTACACTCTATGGTGTTTGCACAACAATGAAATTGCCTAATGATGCACTTCTCAGATCTACCTCTGTTGTTAAGCAACATGACTGTATTTCATCAGTCCTCTTGTGCATAACTGTATCAGTTTGTTCTTGTGCTGCTATAAAGAAAATCTAAGGCCGGGTGCAGTGGCACACAACTGTAATCCCAGCACTTTGGGAGGCTGAGGTGGGTGGATCACCTGAGGTCAGGAGTTTGAGACCAGCCTGGCCAACATGGTGAAACCTTGTTTCTACTAAAAATACAAAAATTAGCTGGGCATGGTGCCAGGCACCTATAATCCCAGCTACTCAGGAGGCTGAGGCATGAGAATTACTTGAACCTGGGAGGTAGAGGTTGCAGTGAGCCGAGATCGCAACATTGCACTCCAGCCTGGGTGACAGAGCAAGAATCTGTCTTAAAAAAAAAAAAAAAAAAGAAAGAAAAGAAAAATCAGAGACTGCAATTTGTAAAGAAGAGAGGTTTAATTGGCTCATGGAAGGCAGGCTGTACAGGAAGCATGATGCTGGCATCTGCTTGGCTTCTGGGGAGGCCTCAGGAAACGTACGATCATGGCTGAAGACAAGCTGCATCACATGGTTAGAGCAGGAGCCAGAGGGAGGAGGTGCCGCATGCTTTTAGATGACCAGATTGAGAACTCACTCGTTATCACGGGGACAATACCAAGTGGATGGTACTAAACCATTCATGAGAAATCCACCCCCATGATCCAGTCAGCACTCAGCAGGCCCCACCTCCAACATTGGGGATTACAACTCAACATGAGATTTGGGTGGGGACACAGATCCAAATCATAATGATAACCAATCTCTCATTGTTGCTGCTGCCTCCTTCTCTGCTTGGCTGCCTTCTTCATACCCTGGCATGCCTACTCCATATTAACATCCCAAGGACTGGTGGCCCCAGAGGACACCCTATACCAGACTGATTTGGTACTCTTTAGCCAGATTTCAACAACACAGCTTTGCTTGCCTTCTCTTCACTGCTGTATTGTCCCGACAACACACACCTTCTACAAAGCACATTTAAAAAATATATCGTCTTGGCTGGGCGTTGTGGCTCACGCCTGTAATTCCAGCACTTTGGGAGGCGGAGGTGGGTGGATCATGAGGTCAGGATGTTGAGACCATCCTGGCCATGAAACCTTGTCTCTACTAAAATACAAAAAATTAGCCGGGTGTGGTGGCATGTGCCTGTAGTCCCAGGTACTCAGGAGGCTGAGGCAGGGGAATCGCTTGAATCTGGGAGACCGAAGTTGCAGTGAGTTGAGATCGTGCCACTGCACTCCAGCCTGGCTAGAGCAAGACTCCGTCTCAAAACAAAACAAAACAAAACAACAGCAGTGTCTTTTTGCTCCTTATAAAACCTCTGTGAGGTAATGAAGGTATTACTATCCGTAATTTTTCTTTCAACAGATCATCAAGGATCTAGTTCAGGAGAAATGGAGTGACTGGCCTGAGGTCACACAGCTTATAGAAAGCAGGACCTGAGTGCATGCGTCTTTCCACTCCAGCAATATGTGATGCCTATGCCAAAATTACAGTAACTTTCTTTTTTTCTCCAGTAGAAGTATGTTTCAAACTTATTCAGTGTGTGGTAGGCTATGATTTCCAGCCTTTCCTTTTCCTGCTATATATGGGCCAAACAGTGGTGTGGTAGAAAAACAAATGGTTCACAATTGAGAAACACCTCAGGTAGAGCTCTAATCTGTGAGACTTCAGGCAAGTTACTAGCTTCCCTCAACTATAAAAAGGAGATTAGGCAGGACACAGTAGCTCACGCCTATAATCCCAACACTTTGTGAGGCGGGCAGATCACTTTAAGTCAGGAGTCTGAGACCAGCCTGGCCAACATGGTGACACCCCGTCTCTACTGAAAATACAAAAATTAGCCGGGCGTGGTGGCACACGCCTGTAATTCCAGCTACTTGAGAGGCTGAGGCAGGATGATCCTTTGAACCTGGGAGGCGGAGGCTGTAGTGAGCCAAGGTCGCGGCATTGCACTCCAGCCCAGGCAACAAGAGTGAAATTGCCAAAAAAAAAAAAAAGATTAGATCAGCGACTCTGCCTGGGGGTGGGTGACAGGACACTTCTTCCTCCCTTAACAAAAGTTACCTAGGGAGCTGTAAGGCTTTCCTCATTGATAGAAACGCCAGCAAAAATTCAACTACAAATACTCAATTCAATGAAAATCCTTAACATCCCTTCCAAGCCACAGTTATGATTCTAAAGCAATGTTTCCTATTCATTATTTGCCTGCTGTTTTTATCCTTCACTTTATCATCTTATATTTGGCTCTCAATTTCACCCATTCAAAAATTACTGATGGCCAATTATGTGCCAAGTACCCTGCACTCCACTTTTTGTGGTATCCCTCTTCCGAGGGAGAAGTCACTTAGAATTTTACCCGTCTTCCCAACTTGGGAATCGGAACGGTTTGGAGCTAGGTCTTGTTATTTCTAAGCATGCCGGCTCTTCTCCATCCCTCTCTCCACCAACCCCATTTCAAGGTTGGTTCCTCCCAGAGGACGACAGCGTTGCATTCCTCTCTGGGACAGCCCTCCCGCAACTAACAGTGGCTCCATCAACGCTCTGGTTTCCTCGCTGCTCAGTGGGAATTCGGGTGGGACGTTTTCCAAAGTTTAACTGGATTCCACGGCATGTTCCTCCCCTCGGAAAGACACAACCGGCTCGGTGTGTCAGCGTGGATGGATCCACGCCGGGTGCGGCGCCGCAGCTCCGGTTCTCGCTAGGCGGCTGCGGAGGACTGGGAGATACTCCTAAGTAGGCGAGGCGACCCCGGCAGGAGGAAACTTCCCCGCTTGCCCTCCTCGGGACGGGGCGCCTAGTCTGCCCTGGTGCACTCCGCAGGAACTTCCTCGGCCTCGGCTCTCGCTCCGAAATAGCCGAGCCGGTTCCTTGCACGCTCCCGCCGTCCTCCTCCGGCTGCGGTCGCGCGCCCGCCACCGCCACCGCCACAGCAACCGCCGCGCGTGTCCTCACGGGGCCTCGGCTCCCTCCGCCTCCGCCGCCGTCCGCGTGCCCTTCAACTGCTCCCTCCGCCCGGCCGCCGCGGAAGGGAGCGCGAAGCGCGCACCAGCGCGAGAGACGTGCGCGAGACGCACGGCCCCGCGCCGAGCGCCGGAAGCAGCCGGGCCGGGGCCTCGCGCGTCGCGCGCGCCGCCTCCTCCCCCTCCGCCAGTCGCCGCGGCCTCGCGCGCGCGCACTGAGGCGCCGCCGCCGCAGCCGCCGCCGCCGCCGCCGCCGCCGCGGCTGCTGCAGGAGGCGGCGCTGGCTGGCGGCTGCGCTCGCTCCAGTCGGCGAGCGGAGCTGCGAGCGAGCGTGTGTTTTTTAAAGATGGCCGGAGCGGCGGCGGCGGTGGCCGCCGGAGCAGCAGCTGGAGCCGCCGCGGCAGCCGTGTCGGTGGCGGCTCCGGGCCGGGCCTCGGCGCCCCCGCCGCCCCCGCCCGTATACTGTGTGTGCCGGCAGCCGTACGACGTGAACCGCTTCATGATCGAGTGCGATATCTGCAAGGACTGGTTCCACGGCAGGTAAATAAACCCCCTCCAGCCCAGCAGCCGCCGCCGCCGTCGGCCACCGACCAACCGCCGCTGCTGCCGCCGGCCGTCCGCGCCTCCCTCGGGCCGGGCCGCCACGCCGCGCCCAGGGTCCAGGGGGCCCCGGCACCAAGCCCCCGGGCCGGGCAGCGGTGCTCGCGGGGCCCCGGGCTCGCCGGGCTCCGAGCGGGCTCCAGAGGGGAGCCGGTGGGCTCGCCTGGCCCGGGCGAAGAGTCGCCACAACAAACAGGAACAAAGGGGGCCGGTGGAGAAGTTGGCAGGGGGAGCCCGGGGCGAGGGGACGCGGCCGGGCGGGCGCGGCGGGGGCAGCGGGCGGAGCGCCGGTCGGGCCCTCAGCCCCTCGCCCGCCGGAGCCGTCGCCGCCCCGCCCCGCCGCGCCCGGGGCTCCGGCCCCGAGTCGCCGGCCGCTCGGCCGGCCGCCGCGCCTGCCTTCCTTCCGGGCGGCGATGGGCTCGCCCCGGCTCTGTGTCTCTTCCGCGCCGCTGGTCCCCGTCGCGCACCCTTCCCCGTCTTTATGAAACTTCCTGGGGCTGTGGGACGGCGGCGGCTGCGGGCCCGGGAGGCGACCGCGCCACTCAGGCTCGGCGGGTCTCCGCGGAGTAAACAGAGCAACAGATGAGGCACTCACTCTAGGGGACTTGAAAGGTGCTCGGGGACTTCGGGCTGGGCCCCCGGCGGGCAGCAGGTTGACCCGGGTCTCGGCCCCGGGCCCCCGCACTCCCCGCGGTCACTGGTGCTGGGGCATATGGAGTGGGCGGCGGGGCCCGAAGGGAACGCTTCTCCGGACCCCCTGGGTCGCCCTCGCGCCGCGGCTCAAACTTTACAAAGAGTGCAGTTGCTGTCGCCTGAGGACGGCGACACCGGGACCGCCCGCGGCTGTGCCCCGGGCGCGGGTACCGGCGAACTTGAGTCGGCTCGGCGGACGCTGCGGGGCCGGCAGGCTGGCTGCGGCGGCGGACGCTACCCTCTGATTCAGCCACGCCACGCTCAGGGTTTGACGTTTGAGAGCTCGGGCCGCCTCCGCAGCCAGGCCGCCGACTCGTGTGTTTTGTAATCAAAGTGTAAGGCTAATAAAGGGCGGCGCCACAGCCTCTTGACTCCGGCGTGGGAGGGATTCGCAGGCATTTAAACAAAGAAACTAGTTGGGGTTGGGCTCCCAAAGTCCTTATTTGGGTGTTGTGGCAAAGCCTGCGGTCACCTTTAGGTGAAGCCGGTTTCCCGGGCCCCGTTTGGTGTTGTCTCTTGGCGAGAGCACGCTCACGAGTAATAGCAGATATGGTGACTGTGATTGTAGGAAGTGTCTTTTGATTGACAGCAGGACATTTAAATACAGCCTCCGCTCCCCCCTCCTCAATTTTTACAGAAACACTACACGACCAGGCCAGATGTCGTAGTCTCCATCTACTGGTCCAGGGAGAGAAAACCATGTAAATCACAATGTTCTTTGCAGTGTTGAGTGCTAGGTATAGTTAAGTTTTACTTAATTTTCAAGTACAGTTTTACTTAATCAGTTTTCAGGCTAGCCGATTCTGACAACAGAAAACTAGACACAACAAATTATCACTTTAAAAGAAAGGCAGCGTCCTTGTTTCGTATAAAGATAATCTTTAGCAGTCTTGTATATTCAATTCTATTTCCACATCCTCTGTTTCCATAACATATTGTACGTAACTAGAATAAAGATTATCTGAACATTTAGCTTCTATATAGAATAAAATCAGAATCCTTGGTGATTATGTAAATGCTTATTTTTTTCAAGAACTATTTTTTGAAATTTGAGGCGGTTAAGCTGCATAAGAAATTTGTCTCATGCAGTGAAGATTTGATAGGCTACTAAATTTTAGACTAGAATTGTATTTACCTTAATTTAGGTTACTTAACACTGTAACCATGAAAAGCCTCAAGTATTTGATGGAGAATTTTGTAATACATTTAAGTATACACTTGTAAATAGGAGAAATTAAAGAGGAAATACAGAGGGCTTACAGGAAGGAGGGAGAGCAAGGCCGAAACAAATATGCTGTCTCTGCTTTGACATATAAATTTGTATATGTTAAAGTTTAATTTTTTTAAATGATTTTTTAATTTTTTAAGAGACGAGGTCTCGCTATGTTGCCCAGGCTGGAGTGCAGTGGCTATTCACAGGTGCGATCCCACTACTGATCAGCACGGGAGTTTTGACCTGCTCTGTTTCCGACCTGGGCCGGTTCACCGCTTCTTAGGCAACCTGGTGGTCTCCCGCTCCCTGGAGGTCACCATATTGATGCCAAACTTAGTGCAAACACCCGGTTGGCATAGCGCACTACAGCCCAGAACTCCTGGGCTCAAGCAGTCCTCCCACCTCAGCCTCCCGAGTAGCTGGGACCACAGGCACGTGCCACTGTGCCGGGCAAAGCTTAAATTCTGAGGTACTGGTGATGTGGGGTCTGTATGTTTTTCTCATGATCAATATGTAAGTTTAATTCTTAAGTACTGGTAATTTGGGCTCTGTATGTTTTTCTCGTATTTACTCTGATGTTTACCATGAAATGAGTGTTTTTTTTTTGGAACACAGCAAAATGTTACTTTGTATTATTAAATATCCTTTGCTTCCATCACAATTGACCCTTAAAGGGCTAAGGTGTGTCTTTACTATGCTCAGATTTAATTGGACCAGAGGCAGTCCATGTGTAGAGGAGGGAGGAGGAAGTTGGATACAGAGAATTGCCATTGCCTGGATAATTTGTTAACTTTATTTCTTCAAGTAGAGGGACTTTTTAAAGTTGGGGAATCAGTAAATTTTGATACATATAAATTTTAGTTTACTGTGCCTGGCGCTTCTGACATAAGGAAATCTGAAAAGTTGTTGCCCTAATTTCTTGTGACAGAGAAGGAAGGCCTGTCCTTGATGCTTTTCTGTCAGGATGTAGGATGGTTGGAACCAGCTTCTTCAGGCTTTAGCTGCATCCTGAGTATGCAGGAATTCCTATCCGTCCATCTGCCTAAGCCTTTTTGGAAGTGAGAAGTGAACACTTGCCAGGCAGAGTACTGTGTATAATTGAACTCTAGGGGCAGTGAACTGTGGAATTAACAGGATTTTGCTGGGAATGTTCTGTCTAACCTAGAGATGGAGTTCTTTCTCCCTGAGTTCTTGGTGGACACAGCGAACATGTTTCCTGATAAGGCTCATTCCCTTATCTCCAGGCTGGATGTCTTTCTGTAATACTTTAATATCATCTTATGCAAAACTGCCTCACTGCCCTAATTGAATTGTATTACAGTTTCTGTTTTCTTCCTGTTAAATGTAAACACCATTGTTTAGTAGCCTTCAATCACATTTTTTAGTTGATAAAAGCAATATATTATAGAAAAGTTGGAAAGTGCAGAAAAGTATAAAGGATATGGAAGTACTCATGTCTTCAGTGATTACCATTTTATTAATAACGTGGTCTGTATTTACATCCTTTTTTATTTTTTTATCAGAAAGCATTTACAGTATCATGACATTCATACTGATTTGCTTCATCACATGCATACATCCTTTTTAAAAGAACAAAACTGGAATTCTTTCTATGCATTCCACTGTTACCTTTTTTTTATTAATGTATACTGTTTCCTATATCTTTAATGTTCTTTGAAAACATTTTAGTGGCTACATAGTGTTTAATTTCACAGAAGTACAATATATTTGAAAATAATTCCCCTGTTATTTAGCTTACTACTTTTTCTTATGTTTACTAATGATATGATTGACATCCTAAATAAATTATTGTGGCCATTAAATTATTTCCTTAGAATAAATAAAATGAGTTAATACTTATAAAACACTCAGAAGAAGACCTGGCATGTGCAATTTCTTAAGAAATTTCCTTGAACTAGTATTATTGGTCAAAGAGTATAGATGTTTTTAGGCTGCTTGTGCCTATTGCCACACTGTCTACCAGGAAGGTTATGCCAATTTATATTCTTACCAGCGCTTTCTAGTTCCCTGCATCCTCCCAAGCTAAGGTATTATTAACCAGCCCCTGCCAAAACAAACAAGAACTGCTAATCTATAGATAAGTAAGTATTACCACCGAAAGACATACCCAGGCCTGTTCATGGCAGCATTATTCATGTTGTCCCTAAACTGTAACCTAAATGTCATCAACAGTAGATTGGATACATTGTAGTACAGTCATAAAATGGAATACCAAGCTGTAAAAAAGAATACACTATGGATGCACACAACATGAATGGATCTCACACATATAAAGTTGAACACAGAAGTCTGGTACAAAAGAGCATAGTGTTTGATTCTGTTTATGTGAAGTTCAAGTACAGGCATAATTGGGGTTAGGAGTCAGAATAGTGTTTACCTTTTTGGGGGGTATTGACTGACTTACTGAGGTGCAGAACATATTATTTTTTTGAGACAGAGCCTCGCTGTGTTGTGCACTCACTGCAACCTGCGTCTCTTGGATTCAAACGATTCTCCTGCCTCGCCCTCTGAGTAGCTAGGATTTCAGGCACGTGCTACCACACCTGGCTACTGTTTTATTATTTTTTTTATTTTTAGTAAAGACAGGGTTTCACCGTGTTCACCAGGATGGTCTCGATCTCCTGACTTTGTTATCCGCACACCTCGGCCTCCCAAAGTTCTGGGATTACAGGGGTGAGCCACTGCACCCAGCCATATTCTTTCTTGGGTGGTGGTTATATGAATGTGTACAGATATAAAGATTTGTTGAGCTGCATGTGCACTGAAGTTTTTTGTTGTTGGGGGATGGAGGTCTCACTAGGTTGCCAACCCAGCCTGGTCTTGAACTCCTGGGCTCAAGCAGTGTTCCTGCCTCAGTCTCTCAAGTAGCTGGGATTACAGATGTGCCATGCACCCTAAAAATTTGCCAGTTTGTTAACTGACACAGTATTTTAAAAGTTGTTTCTTGATTCTGTCTTGAATGAGATTCTTCTTATGTTTTGTCATTGAGTATGATGTTGACTTTTGCCAAGAG